GGTCCCAGTTTGTACAGTATCACCCGGACATTGGGTAAATAAAGCAGACACTCAATAGAGCTAGCCGGTGCAACAAGGTTGACTGGTACTAAACCTCGTTGGGTCAGACTTTAGGTTTAATTTACTTTTACTAATGGTTTAGGTGTGCGTGCAGTGATATCGATTATAAAGCTGAATAAAAGTCGTCAATATCAAACTGTTTGAATTAGATTCAGTAATGGTTATGCATGGATAAATAAATAAACATAGATAGCTTATGTACGCAAAATCACCAAGAATTGTACAGTCCGCGAACTCATACTTCTAGGGGTCAAAGTGTACTTCAATGATAAGCGGGGTGGTTTGGTGTTTTAATGGATTTCATAATAGAGTGTAAAATAACTCCGGGAATGGAACTATTTGAACAACAATATTTCATTGAGCAATATATCAAATTGACGAGAACTGAAGAAGGACATGAGACGGACTGAACTTTCCCTGTTCCCTGGACTGAACTAACTTAAATTTCTCTCTACAGAACTCATGTACACCACAAGTACTCGATGACATAAGAACAGCCAATGTTCACAACCGACCTACAGGGTGTCCCACGAAACATGACAATAGCAAGACGACTTGAAAGTCGTCTTTGATATTTGAATTTATTTGTGACATTTAGTCTTCTATCTACTTTAACATGTATGATTCTTGAAACAATTATCACATAATTCTCCTAGCCCTGGCATTTCCAAAAAGTGGTCTGCGTTTTTAGTGCTTTCAATATTACCGGAGATATAAAGAGTTTGGTTTAGATTTCAGTTTTGTTAAATAAACGCAAAATTGTCGAAATCTGAACGAAATTGTTCATATCTCGGGCAATATTGAAAGCACAAAAAATGCAGACCCAATTTGGAAATGGAAGGACTAGGGGAATTTTGTGATTATTATCTCTAGAAATTTATTTCTAAAATAAGGTTGACAAATAAATGCAGCAAATTATATCAAAAATCAAGACGATATTCATGTCGTCTTGCATACTGTCATGTTTCGTGGGACAACTTGTAGTTAATCTATATAATAGGAATATCTTTAAAACATCTCTGTACATTTATATCTTTCAAGATGAAAAATGTCGTCTTATGCGCAATCTATCTTTATCTATGTGGTTAGTCTCAAAGAATGTCAGGATTAAAAAAATAAATAGATTAACAAATCATAGTTTGTTACCAGAACTCAGTTCCTTTAAAGACTTTCATCCCGCAGTTTGTACTTGTTCTGCCTGTTATACAGTGTACATGTACAGTGTACATGTACATAAAACATCCTAATAGATAATATACTTTGAATGGATCATCATTTTAATTTTTATGACCATCATCGTTTTAATGTAATGCATTTAATTTTATTATTATTTAAATAAAATATAGATATATTATTATACAATAAATATATAAAAATAACAAAATTTTATAAAATCATCATCATAATTTTCATATATACATATGTATATATGATATACATATAGAGCTCTAAAATCACATCGAAAATATATATAAAAATTTATTAGTTCTGTATGAATGCATGTACACTGTACAAATATATCTATAAATATATAATCATCATGTATTGGTAGTTTTTACATATATAAAAGATAAATGATGTATTCTTAACACATGATACTTCACTTCTTTGAAGACGTGATGTTGTTTTGTTGTTATAAGGCTGGTTAATAACACATTTCTGTTCGGGTTGACAATCTTTTGATCTTTATGCTTTGTGCCCTCATAGCTGCTGTTGTATTTATTCTGGCAACATATGTTGTTATAAGTTAAGTCAACTGAGAGAAAGGTTGATGTTGTCGTTCAATGCTGATTCATCTGATGTTGTGAATGTTCATTAATGTTGTTGTCCATTACCACCAAGGGACCACAGGGTGTCCATAGGGGCTCTCGTCCTTAAAATATCAACAAATTTTTTTAGATTGTTTCAATGATTATAAAAATGCTAGACATCTTTGTCAGCAAGTTCTTACAGGGTAAATATTAAAATTTCAAGTCAAAAATATAAAACAAAAAATATTTTTTGAAGAAAATGTACGTAATTTTGGGTTAACATAGATAAAACAACAAAAAATATCCAGGGCGGGGGAATTCCCTTTATCCGTGTAAACAAAGTCTTTACCCCCCCCCCACAAAAAAATCTGTATTAAACTTTTCCTATAAATTTCATATTAAATCTAGAAAATGTGTATGTAAGCTACAGACAAACAAAAAAGTATCGGAAATGTCGTCTTCCATTTTTGGATGATTAAATAAAACAATTTTTTATTGAATTTCTCCAAATGCCCTCGAAGGATTTTATTTAATTCAACGTTAAAGTTGAAATAACCTGCTGTGACATGTGATTTCTTATCAACTTCATAAGAAGACAAATTTCTAGGCTTTTCGGTGAGTTTCAGAGTTGAATATTTACAACTGTAGCCGAATATTTAAAACTGTAGCCGAATATTTACAACTGTAGCCGAATATTTACAACTGTAGCCGAATATTTACAACTAGCCGAATATTTGCTTGTTAAAAAAGGGTGTCTTTATAAAATAATATTATTATAATAGAATCCTTGCAATCATAAGGGAGGAATTCATGGTCGCAATTTAAAAAATATTAAGAATACAATCCGAAGAAAATTCTTTAAAAAGAGTTGATAGAAACTACCCGCCCCCTCCCTCTCTATAGAGTGCGACCAAAATTTTCAGGTGGTACTTCCCCCCTAGATTTTCGGGGGGAGTTTCCCCTAGCAGCCTCGGCACAATATTTTTAGGATAAGAAATTAAAATTAGATAATATAATGGGGGGGGGGCATCCCAGAGTTCAAACTTACGGATTTTGTTTGTTTTATACTTTTCATTCAAATCATATATGCCGGCAAAAAAGTATTTAAGAAAAAAGGCTTTAAAAATTCTGGAATTTAGACAGAACCGTTAAATCCACGTGGGGGGGACAGAAGCTGCCTATTTTCCTAAGTTGCAACCTGATATTTCGAGGATGATACATTTCCAATTTTCCAAGGAGGGGGGATGTGCCCTCACATCCCTCCCTTGGTCTTCTCTGTGTGACTTGTGAGATACCTACTTGGTGACTTATTATTCCATCTCGTGAGGTACCTACTTGGTGACTTATTATTCCATCTCGTGAGGACCCTACTTGGTGACTGTATTATTCCATGTCGTGAGGTACCTACTTGGTGACTGTATTATTCCATCTAGTGAGGTACCTACTTGGTGACTGTATTATTCCATCTAGTGGGGTACCTACTTGGTGACTGTATTATTCCATCTTGTGAGGTACCTACTTGGTGACTGTATTATTCCATCTAGTGGACTGTATTATTCCATCTAGTGGGGTACCTACTTGGTGACTGTATTATTCCATCTAGTGAGGTACCTACTTGGTGACTGTATTATTCCATCTAGTGAAGGAAAGTCCGACATCAACTTCGAAGCTTTGCAGTTTATTCTCAACCAGACGGGAACCTAGGAAATTAGGACATTTAGAGCAGTTTTTATAGAATGAAGTTATCTACCTGATTTCAGCTCCAGTCCAGAGGGAATATCTACCGTTTTATAAGACTGTTTTAATTAGGTTTGATAAATTGCAGGGTCTAATCTTGGGAATTTCCTACGGAGTAGATGATCAAACCTCGGAAAACAACCATTTTGTGGTATTTATTTTAACAAACCTATATTCTACAGTAAATATTTTGTCAATGCGTTATATTAGATTTTAAATACCTAGAGAAAACTGATTGTTCTTGAAATTTTTCGACCAAGCGTCTATTTTTTGCGGGAAATTTTTGCATTCTTCTGATTGTGCAATTTTCATGGCAGCGAACCTTGGTATAGACATTGAACTCTGAAAAGTATATATATGATTAAATTATAGAAAAACATTTTTATAAATATATTTCTATGAGACATTTTCTACATTTTATTCATTAATATCAATATTATAAAGAAATTATAATTATCATGTTTTCCCATGGAAAATATTTGGTTGCTTGCAAGCATAAGTTGGTTATTTAGCAAACAGTAAACGCGGGGCTATCAGAAAGCAAAGCCATATTACTCCTAATTTTTTTTCTGCGCGAATGAAAGTGGTGGGTCTGGCTCATTTTATTATAGTCATAAAAAATGATGTAAACAATCCCTTTTCTGTATTTGAGCAAGAACTAAACAGTTATACTTGCAGAGATCTGAATCTTAGGACGGATAGCTCTCAACTGAGCTGAAAACCTGAATATCAACTGGTTTAATCTAGTGCTAAACTAACCAGGGGTAATCATACATACACCAAAATATATTTATCATAAAATCCAATATTTTTAATTTTGCATGTAGGTTTATTTAAACCAGGATGATATTTTTATTATTATTATCTACGCTCAGCTCTGACATGATTTTAGAACGTGATGTTCGTCATGAGTCGAATTTTCCTACTCCTCCACTATTCCACAACCTTTTATCTACGTGCTTGTTGGGGAGTTCCACAACTGCGTCATAAAAATAAACATTTAACTTTCCTTAGTTTTTTTTCTGTTTCTCAAATGGTCGGTAGAGGCACATCAGTTTAAATGGAAGCGTTCCTAGAAATCAAAGGGACTGTTTTAGAGGAATCATAAACAGATGAATAATGATGAAAAAATCAAATCAGACTTCCAGGGATGTTCTACTTCTATTCTTCAATTTCAAGATGACTTTAAAGATTTTAAATTGTAGCCTGGTGTTATGATAATAATAATAATAAAGGATCTAAACACTTTGAGCAAACACTGAGTTTCAAAGTCCCTATACATTTGCAAAATGATGATGTAAAATTTTTATTTGCCAAACTTCGACTATTCTATCTTAATGATTCATAGTTTTAAATATCAAAGATCTAGGACATCAGGTTTCAAAGATAAAGGGATTAGAAAATTATAATTTGTTATAAGTGTTCACTGTTCACTGTTCATTTAATTCCTTTTTTAATTTTGTTAAGCATACAACATGTTTGATAGTTTTAAATTCATTGTATCTAAAGAAATAAAGTTTTGCCACAAACTCTGTTTTTATAATCCCTATATCTTTGCAACCCAACGTCGTATACCTTAAATAGTTCAAGCTATGCATTCTGTTAAATTTATTTGGTTTAAAATATATATATTTGGATAAGAAATTTTGAATTTTTTTCGGCAAAGACTCACTTCCTTTATGTGAAGAAACGAGGGAACAACGAAGCAAAAAATATATTAAGAAAATATATATTATGATAAAAATCAACCAGAATTACTTAGCTTTTACGACGACTGGACAGAGCCCGCCTAACCCGCCAAGAAAAGTATGGGTCTTTATCCAATTATTTGGCACATTGCACATTTAGGAACTCTAACGCACTTGATTTAAGCGTTAGCTTTTTAGAAGTACTTGGTAAAAAAATTGTTAGAGCTTGAAACCTTTGGATCACTGTAATGCATTTTTAAACGATTCTATCAATTAAATAAAAATTGTCTTGATGGTCGGACAAACCTCAATGGATGCTGAGAACCTGTAGTTAAATTACGTAATCCCTTCTCACACCAAAGAATGAACACAAGAACTAAGGATTTTCCAAATATAGAGAGTCAAATCTGCTAACAGTGTATCCTACAGTTGACTGCAGTGGGCAAAGATTTATAAACAAAGATTTTATTTCAGTAGTGAAAAGTTTTAGGAGTACTAAGTTTGTTTACATTCCTCCAAGACAATGCAGTACACAAATGATTTGAGGGTTTCTGCCGTATTGTCCTTATCTCAGAGAGAGCCAAAGTTACATATATATCATTAATCAAGGTAAACAAGTGCATGCCACCTTTTGTCTTACTAATAGAATTAAACTTAGCGCAATGATTCAATTTAAAAACACAAGACACAGTGATTCAGGATTAACAGGCGGCGCGTCTTTGTTTTGAACAAACCTTCCGTCCTCACACGGACCCGGAGCTAAGCTCGGATTGCAAGTAGTCCTGCCTATGAACAGGACAATGTATTAGCTCTATTGTATATAGCTATAGGTCGGATAGATTGTGGGGCGGATGATAAGTCGCCCCGTGTATAGTGTATTCAGATTCTGTCCGTTAAAGTGATTTATCCGTTAAAAGATGCCAACCCAGAAAGCATGTTTGAACGCGTGGAAAACCAAAGCCACCCCAGATATATTCTAGTTTAAATTCAAGCCAATAGGCATGTACCACGGCTGAGAAGGATAAAATAGGATCAGCATGGGCTAACCCGAAATGGAGTTAATATTCACGAAGAGTCTGAAGACGGAAGTTTAACTCGTCGTACGAGGCAAATAAAAGGCAAAGAATTCGCTAGAGAAGTCCAGCTTTCCATTGTTCATTAGTATAATTTTATTTGTTCCTTTTAACTTATAAATACATTTATTCTAATACTCTGTAGATTTACTGACATCAGTTTTAGGCTTTATATTTCCTTTATTTTATACCACTTTTAAATGTAACAAAATTTTCTTTCATTAATGTATACATTCTTTGTACAATATTTCGTATGGTTCTAATTTTTCAATATTTGAATAGGAAGTAATTGAAGAACTTTGAACGGTTGAAAAGTTGTCTGAGTTTCTCTTAACTAATTGAACAATAATATCTACCTCTAATGTCTCGAAAGGGGTTAAACTAAAAACTATGAATAAAGAAAAAGTTCTAAGGATAAAATGTGTTGTACAAAACCACTTAAATTATAAAAAAATATAGTTAAAGGTTTCAGGACTGATCGACAAATTGTCCAGATACGATTTATTTACTTCTATGTCTAAACTGCATAAAAATGCTTGCGTCAGCAAATACGACTTGATACGTGGACCAATTCCTTCTAATTCGCACTCAATTTTTTACTATTTTTATTTCATGGTTAATATTATTGAGAAAATTTTTTCTCATATTTCTTAGAATTCTAACAGAAAATATAAAGGAATTGATTAATTCTGATTTTCTAATTCCTATATCTCTGCAACCCAATGTCGTAGACCTTAGATATTTCAAACTATGAATTCTGTTACCTCAAATAATCTTAGTTTGAAATATCAAAAGTCTTCAACATCAGGTTCCATAGATATAGGGATTAGAAAATTTGAGTTTGTGGCAAAGACTCAATTCCTTTAAAACCCTGCAGTCGAACTAAGAAAGGATTATACATATTTTCTTAAATTGCAGAAAAAAGCTTGAACAGAAATCTGTGTTTATCAACTTAATGAGTCTTGCTAAAACAACCAATCCAAATAAATAAAGTCGTTTTCTCTTTCATGCTTTCATAGCTGTCATAGATGTCTAAGCTGACAACTGCATTGTTCCATTGATTTATTTCTACATGGTTTGTATTGTATAATGTAAACCTTGAAACATTTTCAAAATAAGAAAATTACCGAACCTTGCGGAAATGTATACACTATACATGTGGCACAACAACCTTGCGTGTATCACGTGTCATAGCACATGCATTAAATTATCAAATTGAAAACTGAAATCATCCAAAATTAAATATATTTCCTTTTAGTCATATTAATTTTTAAGCAACTTATAAGTATTTACTATTTGATAACATCATTATAAATATAGAAATGAGTATACTGTTGAAAGCTAGGAATTGGTTGATGGATGAGTTTGATGTAGGTTCACTGGACGATTTCCTGAACAAAAATGATATGAACAAGATTTATTTGATTTTCTTTAAACAATTAGTTAGGTTATGGTTCGCGATGGACATAGATTTTTGGTTGTATTTAAAGGGACTGTAAAGGAAAAATGAGAGAGGGTATAAGCTGAAACCTGAGAATCTCAGGAGTTGAACTATACATCTATCTGATGTTCCTGTTTCGAGTAATTGACATAAAACTGTGTCAAAATTATAGCAAAACGTATATATATAAGACATACGTCCGTACAACATGACCAGAAATCCCGCTAATGACAGTGCAGTATACTGGTCACGTGATACAGATGGAGACATGTGACAATAATACTGCACTGCCATTGGTTGGCGTTATGGTGACATGTTCCGGACGCATAAATAATATTATCAATTATATTTATTAAAAATGAAAAATTATTTAATTCAAATAATAAAAGCAGCAAACTTGAGTTTCTGAGGCTCCTCTGGGATATCGTTGTTTTCAGATTGGTTGCGTATTTGTTGAATATGATCTGTTTAATACTACAAATCCTATACAAAATCTCATATATATACGTTTTGGTATTATTTTGACACCGTTTTATATCAATTTCTCGAGACAGAAACACCCGATAGAACTCTTCTATGTCTCTATCAACTCCTGAGATGCTTAGGTTTCAGCCTATACCCCCTTTCATTTTTTTCTTTACAGTCCCTTTAAATCTGTGGAGATTTTACAATGGGTTTTTACTTTTATGACTATCCACAAGAAAATAAATTTGGAAACAAATTTTCAAGTCGTTTTGAATTTGAAAAATTGTTTTGTCACATTAAATTTTGTTCCCATTGTAAAACAATATAGTTCACAACTTGTAAATTAACTGTAGCTGAAGGTTAAACCCATATTTATGTTATTGTTTAGAAACTAAACCAAAAACTTTCCCATCCCTGATAATCGTTTGCGAATTTTCTGTATCTCTTAGATTCTGAAATCTATTTTTTCCAAAGTTTTAGCACGATATTGACTTGTTAGTAATTCAAGTGATTTTTTCCAACTAAGATGTGTAAAAATGAAAAAGAAAAAGGTTTCCATTCCAATCTGATCCGTAGCCATGGATAATTTTTATGAACCAAATTAAATGGTATGACAAAACGTTATTTTCCAGTGTCTCTGTTGTTATGGATATCATCAGAAGAAAAATACAAAGGAATTGAGTCTTTGCCACAAACTAAGATTTTCTAATTCGTAAATCTTTGCAACCCTATGTCGTAAACCTTACATATTTCAAACCATGAATTCTGATAGATAAAGTTTGAAATATCACAGGTTTACAGCATCAGGTTGCAAAGATACAGGGATTGAGTTTGTGACAAAGACTTATTTTCTTTCTGTACATTCTGTCAAATACAGCTTATATAGTTACATATACTGCAATTGAATGCAATTTTTAATGAAATAAACTTTTCTAAAATTGTGCATAGAAATCCTACTAGACTGCATAGGAAACGTTTACAATAAACGCAAACTTTTAGAGCAAACATGTTAAAATATGTTAGATTTCAGAAAGTAGAGAAATTGGATCCGACTAAATTATAAACTGTTTATTTACTTGTTGGGCTGTAGTTCATCTGCACAGTAGTATACAACATGTCTGAACAGAATATCCTTAATTAGATTAACATTTCCAGAAACCGAATATTATTAATTTGAGCTACGTCGTTGAACAACCTACGGCCGGTTCTTGAAACATTGATCCAAAGTGAACGAGTCAGCTAGGATTTGAATCGTTGATTCAAATTTGATCCGGCGGCGGTAGGCAGTTCAACGACCCCACAAATGCACTAAATGTGGTCCTAGTATATTAAGTATTATCCTTAAACCCCTGATGTAATATGAAATAATTCTATGTATATTGATTCTGGTATTTTATAGCTTTATTGAACATTAATAAAAAAATAAAACTATCAATTTCTTAAGCAAAAGACCATTCTAGATTTTAATGAAAAAATATAGTAAAGAGCACAAAAACTTAACATATTTAAATAAAATTGAATAAAAGTCTTTTTATACCTTTCAGAATCCAAACAATATTGAGTCCTGAAATAAAATTGCCGTATTAATATATATCTATAAATCATGCAAGCAATTACGTTTTTCAACTTTCTACAATTTTCTTGAAATTCGAAAAAAATATACAAATCAAAATTGTGTTATCTTTTAGAAAAGAATTGTATTTTTGGGTAAACACTTGTTCAGATTTTATATATATGTAATAAAACAACTTTAAACACTTAATTTTTTACCCCATAAATACAAACTCAGCAACTGAGTTTTTGCCCAAACTCTCCTTTTTTCATCCCAGTATCTTTGCGACCCGATGTCATCGACTTTCAATACTTTAAACTATAATTCCTGTTACAGTTAATTTTTAAGTTAGAAATACAAAAGTCTAACATCATCAGGTTGCAAGTTTATAAGGATAAGAACATTTGAGTTGGTGGCAAGAACTTAGTTCCTTTGGCTGGTTCTGAAATTAAAACAAAAATTTGCTGAATTATTTAATGTAGTTTTAAGTGAACCTGCAATAAAAAATAATTTTTTTTAAAATTAAGTTCTTAATTAAATATTATTTAAAGTTTAACGAATTTTTTACTTAAACTTTGAAAAAGATTCGAAATACCTGTGGTTGAGTTGGTCGACTTTAATAGCGAAAATTTTTGTTTCCCGGTAAAATCGTCTAAGTGCAGGTAAACGGCGGGAGTAACTTTAACTAACCTAGCTGGGCAGCGCTGGGTTCCCAAAGCTAGTTTAAAATATGTTCAACCCATTTTAAATAGCATACCTTGAAACAAAATTTCCATTAATTTCAATCCCCCTTTCCTCCATTGTATACACAGAGCTATTCATCAACTAAATTTAAAAAGTTGAAAGGGACTGTTCACTATTTTCAGTAGGAGGTAAATGTAGTAAAGATGATTATATAATTTATTTTTATTCCTCGATGATTTGAAAGAAGGAATGCAAGGACCGTCGACGTGAAGGCCTCGCTTTTTAAATTCTGAAATTGACGATCGATCTTTATTGTTGCGGTTTCTCTATTTATATGATATATTAAATTATTAAATAAAATTACAAGAGACAAGGTTGGACTATGATATCTTCCACATTGTTACGATCAGTATAATTTAACTCTAAAATTAGAAGTAGAAGAGACAAGGTAAGACTAGATATCTTCCACATTGTTTGATCAGTATAATTTAACTCTAAATTAGAAGTAGAAGAGACAAGGTAGGTCTAGATATCTTCTACATTGTTAAGATCAGTATATTTTAACTCTAAAATTAGAAGTAGAAGAGACAAGGTTGGACTAGATATCTTCTACATTGTTTGATCAGTATAATTTAACTCTAAAATTAGAAGTAGAAGAGACAAGGTAAGACTAGATATCTTCCACATTGTTTGATCAGTATAATTTAACTCTAAAATTAGAAGTAGAAGAGACAAGGTAGGTCTAGATATCTTCTACATTGTTAAGATCAGTATATTTTAACTCTAAAATTAGAAGTAGAAGAGACAAGGTTGGACTAGATATCTGCTACATTGTTTGATCAGTATAATTTAACTCTAAAATTAGGAGTAGAAGAGACAAGGTAAGACTAGATATCTTCCACATTGTTTGATCAGTATAATTTAACTCTAAAATTAGAAGTAGAAGAGACAAGGTAGGACTAGATATCTAAAAATGAAGGATTATTTAAAACGACGTCAATATTCCCTTTAAGTACCTGCGGAAAAACATCAAATGAACAAAAATCTGAAACAAAGTCACATGTTTATTAAGCCCTTTACCAAAGTTCAAAGTATATATGATATCTAGCACAGTGTCTAAAACTTGACACATGTAATTAATACCAAAAATACTTCTTCAAAAAAAAATTTTTTTTTCAAAAATAAAGTTACTCAATTAATCAAATGGACTTCTTGTGACTGTAGATTCTAATATAATCAGTAAAATTGACTGGGCTTTTATATTATTGAAAGTTATCTAATTCTGATAAACAAGAAATATAATAGTTCAACATATTTTATACATGAGTTCACAAGTCACGTGTTTATACAATTTTATGAAGTTTTACACGTGAGCACTGAACAACTCTGAGCAAGAGAGTAATCCATCATTAAAGTATTTTCTTGTGATATTTATTAGTTTGAATTATAAGAACGAAAAGATTTTAAATTTTTTTCAAGGTTCCACAATTTTCTTAGAAGTTTTACAAAAGAACTGAGTTTTTGACACAAGCTCTGATTTTTTTATTCCTATATCTTTGCAACCCAATGTCGCAGGCCTTTGATATATCAAACCATGAATAATTTTAGATCAATACGTCTAAGTTTGAAATATCAAAGGTTTACACCATCAGGTTGCAAAGATATAGGGATTAGAGTTTGCGACAAGAACTCAGTTTCTTTGCAAAATTTGGGTTTCTAACCATTTGCTTTCCTTAAATGATGCCAAATGTTAACCCTGCAAAAAAAGAACCAAAACCAATCGTTTTGAAATGATTGTTTTTGTTAGTTTTTCCTTTCCAGTTTCTCAGAAAATATAATTTTTATAGATTTTTCTATAGATTTGTGTGCTGCCTTTCTAACCTTTTAAAGTTCAAAAAAGGTTTTAAAAAAAGGAATAATAGTATTGACTTATATTTTGATCTATAAATATTCACCTGGTTACATTGTAAACTATTGTAAATATATCCTGTAGAGCTTTTTTTCTGCAGCTGCCCATCCTTTATATTATCCTTTACTTTCATCAAACAAATTAAGATCAAAATATTTTTCAAGATAAATTAAATAAAAAACTCATTTGAATTAATTTAAATGCTGCTTAATACATATAATTCAAAGATAAAAAATCTAAATTAAATTCATAAATTAAATGGCTCAACCTCAAAATTATGAAAATCTTTAAATCAAATATATTTTTAATCAAATTTAGTTTTTACTCTTAATTTATTATTTAGAGTTATATTCTAGTGTTTCCATTCAAAATTCCATTGAACACTCTAAAATTTTTTTTAATTCCTATATCTGTGCAAACTGTGATATTTAAACCTCTGACTCTTAGTAATAGATCTAATTGATTTCATGGTTTGAAAACAAGGTCTGGTACTAAAAGTATCAGAAAATTTGAGTTTTAAGGGACTGAAATCGTAACTTCAAGTGACCCCCGTGCAAAGATGGCAATGCCCGATTCACAACGATGAAATCTGATCAAAGATATGGAAGATACCGTCGTTTTTTTTGACTCGAGAAGTGTTTATTTCTGTGATTTTCTCAAATTGCTTCTTATAAGCAAGAAATGCGCAAGCCACTTTCACTGGGAAACCGCAAATGAAAATAAACTGTTGAGAGAAACAAAAATATTGATATCTAATTCCTACTTGATAAGACCAAGGTTTCAAGGGTACCGTTGTAAATCGGACATATTGCAAGGATTTATGATTATAAAGGATTCCTGATGATGTGAACAGAACTGAACATCTTGATCTAGCCTGGCCCAGGGCTGCACACGCCAATATTTTTAGATTAAATATTTGTACTTTCAATTATATTAGATGGTTATTAAAATAGTTCACCTGACAACACCTAAAACAGTAAATACAAGTAAATTCAAACTATATACAGAGCGTCTTATATCATATTGAATTTGTTGAAGCTATAACACCAGAATACGCGATGCGGATTATACTGTGCAAATTTTTTTATTAGCCTTATACAAAGTTTGAAATGCTTCAATGTTTTTAAATTTTCTGTTTAGTCCTGAAATTCCTTCTCTAGAGCTTTGCTTGATCTAATATGATGTTGGAACACCCATATTTTCAATTTTATATTAGTCCGTACCTGCTGGTGCAATCTTCAAGGTTTTCACATTTAATTTTCCTATTCAATTTTAGTTTTGTTAAAACCATTATTTATTCATAAAAATCTTAGGTTTATTCATTACCTTTCACCTTTGGGTACACAGTACAGGACAACCACACTGCATTTTATAATTAAAACTTTGTTTTATCATTTTTTTCGAACGTTTTATTTATTTAAAACAAAATATAAATTTTTACTTTCTTAAATCTTCCCCATAATCTGAGTCTATGAGATGATCCACACAGAAAGAGTCTTTTCTAAAATAGTTTAGCGCTTGCTGAGTTTTGGGAGAAATTACTAAACTAAAATATCACGTCACTTCATTTGTTAAACAAAAAGTATTTTGCGCAAAACTTATGTTAAATATTTTCTTTTTAAATGTCTTCCATAATATTTCAAAATAAAACGTTTTCTGAATCAGATTTTTAAAAGATTGTTACTAAAAGAAGCATGGACGTATGAAAGCTAAATGCATGTACAAGAATATTTTAGATCTTTAAAAAATATATAAGACTACTATAGTGCTTCATGAGATGTAGATAAACATCTTACATAGAATAACTAAGTATGTAAGCAAACAAGCAAATATTTGTACATAATACAGTACATCTCATCAACAGTAGAAAACAATGGAATATATATAAATATAAATAGTAAATATATTTAATCAAGAATGTAAATATGTAAAATGTAAATTAATAAAAATAAATATATAAATATATATATCTGTATCAGTAGAGTAAATGTACCAATGTAACTAAAAGGTACCTGTATCCCTGTATCTATTAGGTACCTGTACCACTGTATCTTTAAGGTACCTGCACCAATATATCTGTATCTGTAAGGTACCTGCACCAACATATTTGTATCTGTAAGGTACCTGTATACCAATATATCTGTATCCAGCTGTTAGGTACCTGTACCAATGTATCTGTATCTGTAAGGTACCTGTACCAATATCTGTATCTGTAAGGTACCTAACTGTAAAAATATATCTGTATCTGTAGGGTACCTGTACCAATATATCTGTATCTGCAAGGTACCTGTACCAATGTATCTGTATCTGTAAGGTACCTGTACCAATATATCTGTATCTGTAAGGTACCTGTACCAATATATCTGTATCTGCAAGGTACCTGTACCGATGTATCTGTATCTGTAAGGTACCTGTACCAATGATCTTCATGGATTAAAACTCCGTCTTCAGTTAACAGGGATGAACTCTAAATACATTATTTAAGTAAATAATTAAAGAGGGGTTAACTTTAACATTGTTTATAAATTATATCATATATATAATCATCAAATATTATTGTTAGGAACCCAGCTTTGTACTGGAAACTAAACTAAAAAAATCAACTCCCTCAATTTAGAATTTTAACGCCAATCTAAAAACATTCCCGTGGTTCTACCGAGCTTCTCCTTAAAAATTTAAGGCAAATCGGTCACGGGGTTAGTGAGGTAAAGAACAGACAATCAAATAAACAAACAGACAAACATACAGAGATTACTACTTTATATGGATTCGACCTCTGATAGAGATTCTGATTGCTCAGGATACCAAGCTTCTAGTTCAGATTTACAAAACGGCATTCCAGAACCCTTAAAAACAAAAATGTTAAAAACTGTTCATTCATTTTAATAACTATTGAATTGTCGGTGTCATGCATTGATGTCTATATAAAAGTTCATTTCCATCGCAGTTATAGAGTTAAACACGTCTAAATATCATAGCAGCAGTGGGAAGAATATTGTACAATTTAGGTATTTTTAGTTCAAATATGATGTGGTGAAATTGACAAGATTTGTCAAGTCTATGATGAGTTATTATTTAAAATAAAGTTGCCTTAAGAGATTGAGTCTTGGGCACAAACTAGAATATTCTTATTCCTTTATTGTCGCAACCTGATAACAATTGTAGATTATTTGATCTAATAGAATTTACATGGTTGAAATATTTACGGTCTACGACATTGAGAAAATCGGAGTTTGTGGCAAAGACTTAATTCCTCCCCCCCCCCCTCCCCCCTCTCCTTTCCTTAAATTTTTGGAGAACGAATCGTATGTTCCTAATGACTGATTTATCTCATTTATTTTTAAACCTGAACTGGGTATTCTCTTGTTATCCCGCTAAATCCAACTTCAATACTTGATTTCTTCTCATCTCTAGAATCAAATAGAACAAAAGAGAAAATTTTGCTGATTATGCAATTTTTGTTGATTTAGAAGAAAAAAAATAAAACCGGTAATGTTTATATTTCTCGATCCGTATTAAAATCTCTGAACAATCTCACTGTCATTGATACAAATGGATTGCACCGAATCATGTGTTTGCTGAATAAGATTAACTAGATCAGTTTAATCCGTATAACCGTTTCAATAAAAAAAAACTTACCCGATACAGATTAAACTTCCATTTACATTCTTGAGATCTCCGCCCTTCATTGTTTAAATGTAATTATGTGGCAAAGTGAAACATTAAATCAAGAAATATTCAGAACAATGTTTTTTAAGTTTTCTGATATCGGAGATAGGAATCTCTTCCAAAAGCACTAATACACAATAATCCTTTTCTCATTTTCTATGACGGATTAATTTAATTCTTTCTAAATATCTCTAGAGGTCCATAAGGCCAAGGGATTGGTAGGCCGGTTTAAAAAATTACATATGTAGTATATTAAAACCTGCATTTTCCCAACAGAATAGTTTATTTTGACCTTTATTAGATAGCTTGTACCCAAATAGTCGAGTGGATCAGAAACGAAGATAATATTTAATTTCTAAACAGTCATTGACATTTTTTGAGAAAAAAAGATCCAAAATTCAACCTTTTTCGATCCAGCCAATATAATTTTTTTAAGGATTTTCTTTCAATAGCAACCTGCAGATAAGGGTTTACGCGAAATGACCATTTATTTGCGTTTTATTTGTGCAATTTTTTGCGTAATTTCAAAACTGGAAGTATTGCGCAAAACATGATATTTTTAGACAAATTGACGAAAATTGATCAATTCAGCACAGAATAAAATAACTGAATTCTATAAAAAAGTTACCATACATAAAAAAGTATGATTATGCCACTCTCTATTGGTTACTTTTAATTACAAAAACTTCAAATTGAGGGACAAAATTTAATAAAATAGATATTGGAAAATTGAAAATTGGTGCATAGTTTTTAAAGATGTCTGAATCTTTGATATTTCACATGTTGACTTTTTCTAATCGAATGGATATGATTGAAATATCAAAGGACTATCTTGCATCAGGTTGCAAAGTAGAGTTTTAGGCAAGTAATCAGTACCTTTTTAAAGCATTGCAATTATATGCAAAAAAGTGAAATCTCATAGAAAACTATTTTATACAGTTTACACCTTTAATTAACCTTTTAATGAGAATTTGTTCATCCAAATAGCGCAATACAGAATGACGCAAAAGCGGAATAGCGCAATTTTGCGCGAAATGAAGTTTGCGAATGATTGTGCAACGAAAGCAAAAATTTGCGCTTCCTTATCGCAAATGCGAATGGAAAGGCAAAATTTTCTCCAGTTAATCCGGTATTACGTTTTTTACTGGGTTACACTGTAGCTAGATAAAATATACATTACATACCCCACAACATTTTGGTAAAATCATCTCTTCGTCTCTGCATCAAATTAAAATATTATTTTCATTGCTTCATCCTACTTGGAAATTTATCATTTGTTTCGGGATTTTCAAAATGTGTTCGTCATGATGTACGAAGGTGATGTTACAATTTGCGTTCCTTTTACAATTTAATTAATATTCACAAATTAATGTTCACTTATTATCCGTATTGTATACAATAAAAAGAAAATTTGGACTATGAAAATCCAAAAAAAAATCCTTTCAATTTTGTATATTCAATAATTTATATTTTAGGCGTCTGCATTTCAGAGAATTGGACAAAAAACCGTCCTGCGTGGGATTCTCTGCAGCCCATGATTAAAATATTTGATCTGTTCCTGACTAGAGTACCCACAAACTGTTGCTGACTGGATTAAACAGAAATAAAAAATAAATTTTAATCTAATTTTTTCATAACATTAATCCTAGCTTACAGGAACTGTTAACATAACTTCAAGTGACCCTCCATTTAAAGATTAACATTTCATGATTCACAATTCGCACTTTTAAAAGTTTTGTTTTATCAAGAATGCATTAAATATCAATCATCATCTCTTTAAAGGTAAATTTCTTCAAGTGTGATTTCTCTATAAGGCGGCTTGTGCATTTCGGCTTTAAAACATTATTGAGGAAATCGATTTTCATGTTCGGAAATCGACAATATATTCCACATTATTGATCAGTGTTGTGGAGCTAGAAAAACAGCAATATATTCTACATTAATGATTAGATGAAGGTTAAAAGGGCCCCTTTTCTAATGGAAGGTCACTTGAAATTAAAATGACAGTCCTATACTGATGATTTCAAGGATCTTTCGATATCTCTTGTAAATTTGAAATTTCTCGATTTATTAACATGCGTTGTGAATGTGATTTTTTTTAAATCTTTTATTGGAAAAAAAACTATTTTTCATTTACATTTATTTAGAAATTAATTTTAACATGAAAATAATTGTGAAGAAGAAGAACGGTTCAATCCCTGAAAGCTGAAGGAAAATGTCCCAAAAGTAGAAAAGTCGCAAGATTGTACAATTTTCGCATTTTTGCAGAAATTCTTTAATTTTAATCTGAAAATCTAAACACGCAAAAAGTATTGGAGAGTTTTAAACATTTCGATAAAAGCAATTTTACTATTTACTGTCACCGCATCAAAACTATGCCATAAAAATGAAAAAATGGATGACAGAAAATTATTCAAAATTTAGATGAATAGAGTTTAATTGAGAAATTGAATAAATAATAAAAATAGAAAATAATTTGGATTATTAAGATGTAATTACGTCTCTTTGAACTTATCTCAGCATTGTTTACATAACAGTGAAACACATAAAACTGTAGAATTGGAAGACGGTTGTTAAACTCCAGTTACAAAGGAATTGAGTTTTTGCCACAAAGTCTGATTTTTATAATCTCTATATCTTTGTAACCCAATGCCGTAGACCTTAGATATTTCAAACTATTGATACTTATAAATAAACTAATCTAAGTTTGAAATATCAAAGGTTTTCATCAAAAGATTGCAAAGATATTGGAATCAAAAGATTTTAGTTTGTGGCAAAAACTCAATTTCTTTACATATTAAAAACATGAAGCAAATCCATCTAGCAGTGTACACAACCCCATTTTACTAAATAAGTTGGTTTTCAAACAAACATTGTAACTATTTGCTTTACAATACCATGACATACTCGAAAAATTACTTGCATGTCGTCTTTAACACTAAATAAAATATGTTTTTAAACCGTTTTGAACTTAAAAGCTCTGTTAATGGAAAAGCATATGTGTCACGTAGCGCCTCAAATTCTGTTATTAACTGTTGAATGTTTCTAAGTACTTCTAGAAACTAGACTATTTTGAATCTGTCCACTGTTTAAATATATGGGTTGGGTTGGGTCATTACATCCTCCCAACCAACCTCCGACAGTAAAACTGCAGTTTGCAAACTGCAGTTTAGACCGGGGGAGGGGGGAGATCAATACTTTAGAAAGCCTTTAGATAAACTGTCAAAATAGAATGGTTTTATTTAATGTTATGAAAAATCTCAATGTTTATTTCTTCCAATAATTGAAAAACTAAGTTAATAACTGAAAAAGTAAGAATTTGCCAAAAATGTTTAAAATGAAATATTTTATAAAATTATAATTTTCCTATTTAATGCATAATTATATCTATATATAAATTTGGCTTGTTTGTCTGTCTGTTTGTTTGTCTGTTTGTTTGTTTGTATCCAATAAACGTCAAAACGGCTGAACCGATCGGGCCCAAATTTTTTGTGGGACATCTAGGGAGCCCAGGGAAGGTTTATGAATCATCAAAATTTCAAATATTTGTCTCTATCAAAATTCGATCGTCATTAAATTTTTTAAAATTTTGAAAATCCGCGAAATTTTTTGTAAAAATCCGCGAATTATTTTTGTTTAGTTTTACGATGTACACAAAGAGAACATGTTTACAATTAATTTAGAAGATGGGCGCGAAGCGCCCTCTAAGGCTAGAAAGAAGGGCGCGAAGCGCCTTGAATTTCTAGTAAATATAAATATAATCAAATGTCAAATAATTATTGTAATAATCAGAATATTAGATTGATAGTTTAAATGAGTGCTGAAATTCTGGTGATTTGGTCGCCACTTGCTGGAACTCAGTACTCGTGATAAACCTATAAAATGTATTTTAACTGTGATTTGATGAATGTAAATATATCGGTGATTTAACAAATTGTGAATTACGTAATTATTTATAACGGTGATATAAAGACCACCAATTTTTTAACGTATTTAACTGTTAATAACGCTGCAGATATAACTACCATAAAATTGTAAAACGTATTCAACCATTCGTGGCTGTGATTTAACTGTCATCAAATTTATAGCTGGTACATATATATAGTATATAACTACCTGTGATATAACTACCATCAACTATTTACAGCTGATATAGATTTTTGATTTTTTCTCATTTTTTTCGGAATTCTTGGATTTTTCGGATTAATATAAACATACCTTTCAGCTAAATTTTATTAAAACTAGTTAGTTTAGTATCAAAAATAGGGTGGGGGGAGGGTTTTAAAGTGTTACCCATTGTTGTTCAAATCAGTTTCCTCTAGAACATTCTTCACAACCTAACAGAGAAGAATTGTAAATTAAAGTATGTTTTTCTTCTTTAAATATTTTTTCCCATTCCTTCACACTTGGTTTGGTTTATAAACTTCTATTATTTACATCTGATTACGGTTTGAATCTACTTAAGTAAATCTGTAAACGTAAATATGAACAAAATTTCAAGCAACCCTTCAATTCAAATTTACATGCCTTTCTCTGAGCAAAATTTATACGGTTTCCTTTTAAAAGCGACTTGAAAATTTATGCAGCAAAGGCACGGAGAAAAATTGACAAAATTTCATCTTTTTTAATTTAGAAAACGATGATAACGTCGACATTTACTTTAAATACTTTAATCATGGTTTAACTATACCTCGGCCAATTCTTCAGGTTTCAGTTCTATCGCACTGTATCGACAAGATTTAAATTTACAAAAAAATATTTTAGATTTTACTTAAATATTTTGAAAATAGGAAACATTCTATTGTTCCCTATTTTCAACTATTGGTGTTGGGACATTTTCATAGAACGAAATTGAAAGAATTCTCATAAATAAGAAATTTCATATACAAGATTCATAGATTTTATGACAGAAAACATTTTTTTCTTCTTTTTTCTTCTTGTTAGTTGAGACACATGAACTGTAAAACAATATATTTATATGCATTGTTAAAAAAAACATATATCACTCAAACTGATCACATTTAAAAACAATTATCATACATTTGTTACTAACCAAAAGCAATAAATTGCCTCTAAAAAAATGCTTTCCGTCTTTGAAATTACTTATCTATGACAATTCTTCTCTGTCTATGAAATTTTCTGCTTATGAAAAATCTGCTCTGTCTTTGAAATGTCCTGTCTATGAAATGTCCTGTTTATGAAATGTTCTGTCTATGAAATATCCTGTCTATAAAATGTCCTGTCTATGAAATGTTCTTTCTTTGAAATATCCTCTCTATACTTTTGTTATCCATAAAACGTTTTTCTATGAAATGTCCCAACAACATTTTATTGTTACTTTAAATAGTGCGGAATATGCATAATTTTAAAAATTTAAGCATTTTTGTAAACACTCCTGTTCTCATTGGGTTTTGTCAATCTTTTAACAACCTGGTTTAAAAAAAAAGATTATTAAAACCGTTATAGTATAGGCTATATCTCTGGATATTCACGCCATTTTTATTTTAATGTTTAAAGTATCTACAAAAATTTGAAAAATCTGAAAAGTTTCTGGTTTTATATTCCTGAAAGTGAAGTTATATTATAAAATGCAATTCATATTCGTTCTAAACATAAAATATTGAAATTTAAAAAATATTTTTTCATTTTTTCTACCTCTAGGATATCCTTGCTGCAAATCTTCTCGTCGTTATTGAAGTCATAAACCTTAAACGCCCACTTTGCCTTCACCTTAAACATTACTTACTTATAACTACTTAAAAAACTTCCTGACACCTGGAAATTTTGAAAGATCACTTAAAGGGACAGACGAGACAGACCGGCTATGTAGGGTACATAGTTAAACTGAGTATGACAGTTTTTGGTAATTTCTTTAGAATTCTTTTGAGACATATAAAACTCTTTAAAGATCTGTAAATCCTGAGTTTGAGCGCAAAGGCGACGTTAAAAATCGTACTTTTGGGTTATTAAGTCATTAAGTAACGACGACAAAAAATGTCAACAACATTCTATCGTAAACTAATTAGTTGTTTAGGAACAGATTGAGAAAATAAAAAAATAACTATTATCATCGAAAATAAGTAATCTTATTCAATTAGTATTTTCTATAATCTCTCTTTAATCACAAAGATTTTCTGCAGATTTTCTGGAATTTTTATTTAAAAGACGACATTTGAAGAATTTGAAGAAATCTGCGAACAAATTCATAGAAAAAAAGAAAACTCAGTAATTATACATCGTGGAAACGTTTTATATGTCTTAACTAAATCCTAAAGAATTTTTCCACAACAGTTTAAAGACCTTAAATAGCCGGTGTGTCCCTTCAAAATTTAATTGTACCATCAGAATTGTTATCAATTTTTCCCCCTTATGTCTTCATTAAAACCTTAATACATTAAAACAGTATTTAATTGAAGCAAGGGGGGGGGGGGAGATTTTATTCTTCCTTCTCATCCCAGAAGATATTTTTTAAATAAAAAATCTTGCAAAAACATTTTAAATAGGATTATAATTTCCAGTTTTAACCTCTAATGGCGCCGAAGGTCCCATTATTGACATCATGTTCAGGAAATCTTCAAACAAAATACAACTCTCGCCATTCTGAAGTGTTTGTCCTCCTCAAAATGAAGAAAATTAATTCATTTTATCTTTTTATTAATTCGTTAATTCGAAAATAAGAAAAAAAAACTTTTTTGACATATTAACAGGGTGAATAAAAACAAATGTTATTAGTGTCGTTTTTTGAAAAATAAAACATTTTTTTCCCTCGAAACCAAAAGTATAGAAAAGCAAAGATGATTCAATATATTATCATAGATATGTCTCACACCTGCTTTATGCTAAACTGCAATCCTTTAAAAAATTATATGTATCCTGTACTGTACTACATTGTACTGTTTAAATGTGGAGCTGCGTTAAACTAACCTGAGAAGACCTGTAAGAGTCTCGTACCAAATGGATTCACGTGGAGAGCAGAAATCTAGACATGTACATAATTTTGGTACAGTGGGACCTATAAAACTGTGGAATGTGAAGGCAATATTTTAAGAATTTTAGATTTACATTTTACAGAAATATTGGTCATGTGAATCCCCATATAAAATGAATAAACTTTGATAAGAAGGTATTTTATCAAACCTGAAAATAATTTTTTAGAATTTTTTTACTACGAGTGCAATCTTATCTCTTTTAGTTTCAATTTTTAATTTGTGATTTGTAAAATAATCCTAATTTTACAATCAGAAATTTAAAAACATCAGTCAACCTTATTCTCAATCACACTAAAGGGCATCTTCACTTGTTGCAACTTCAACCTGCAATTTTGATATTTAAATCATTTACTTGTCTGAAAGAAAATCACTAATTTTCTCTTTCTTTAGATTAGTATTTTAATAAATCTCACCTGCGCTCTTTCACTGCCGCAGCAACATTGGAGGTTTCAGGGTTAGATTCAATCATCTAAAAACAAATGTAAAAAACATAGTTATATTGTACTTGATACAGTGACATTATATTGTACTTGAAGATACAGTGATATTATGTTGTACTTATACAGTGATATTATATTGTACTTGAAGATACAGTGATATTATATTGTACTTGAAGATACAGTGATATAGGAAGACGACTTTATAGCAATACTTCAGTTTATTTTAGGTTGTTACAAGACAAATTTTTTTACTAGACACATTAAAATCATTAAATAAGTGAAGTGAGTCTATTTTCACTGATTAATTGATGTGTCCATGTTAATTGAACTATTTAATGTCATAACTTGCGTCTGAAAGTCGTCTTCCTTTTTCAGAGTTTTTTGTTATCACAGTACTAAACTGCAGTTCCTTGTATATTGCTCGGTTGTATACTGTGTCTCATCTGTGTATTTTTGTTGACAACAAATATTGCACTGTACGAAATTTTTCTTGTTCTATCTTTCCCACATGAACCAACCCTTTAATGGAAGTTTTTAATAAAAATAAGAATATATAGTTAATTTACCGTTAACGTAAATATGCTAGAAAAATAATACCTCAAAAAACTTGTCAGCGCAATCTATTATCTCGGCCTATTAACAAATAAACTATATATAATCATACAAACAATACAGTATGAACCAGAAAACAGAAGCATTTTCGTCGTCTTACAATTGTAAAATATCACTAAGATTTTTGCAATTTTCAACTAAACTATTTCTAAAAAGTCTGCCCTGAACATTAAAAGAGATGTATCCGTTGCAAGTACAGGTTGTCCCACGAAACATGACAGGTAAATAGTTTGGAATGTCTTCTTCCCTTTACTGTGAGATATTACAGACTTTTTGCATTTTTTTCGTTCAATAAAATCATTTACTAAAATATATTTTACTTTGAAATCAATTTTACTTTGATAACCACCATTAAATATTCTTATATATTTTGATGATGCAAATTCTTAAATAAAAGAATGAAAAAAAAGACAACGTTCATTTTACAGTTTTCTAGTTCATGTTTTTTGTTTTGTGTTTTACTCCACTTTATATTAGATCTGATATAATCTGTTCTTTTCTGATCTATTGTGTTCTTCTAGGCTGAGCTTTGATTAATAGCTCCATCGAGTTCTGTTTTGTTCTGTTTTGTCTAGTTCTGTTCTCTGTTCTGTGCTTTGTTCTGTTCTGTGTTCTGTTCTGAGTCTTTTCTATGGTCTGTTCTGTGTTGTGTTCTACGTTCTGTTCTGTGTTTTGTTCTTTTTTCTGTTCTGTTTACTGTTCTGTGTTTTGTTCTGTGTTCTGTATTGTGTTCTGTTCTGTGTTCTGTTCTATGTTCTGTTCTGTGTTCTGTTCTGTGTTCTGTTCTGTGTTCTGTTCTGTGTTCTGTTCTGTGTTCTGTTCTGTGTTCTGTTCTGTGTTCTGTTCTGTGTTCTGTTCTGTGTTCTGTTCTGTGTTCTGTTCTGTGTTCTGTTCTGTGTTCTGTTCTGTGTTCTGTTCTGTGTTCTGTTCTGTGTTCTGTTCTGTGTTCTGTTCTGTGTTCTGTTCTGTGTTCTGTTCTGTGTTCTGTTCTGTGTTCTGTTCTGTGTTCTGTTCTGTGTTCTGTTCTGTGTTCTGTTCTGTGTTCTGTTCTGTGTTCTGTTCTGTGTTCTGTTCTGAGTCTTTTCTATGGTCTGTTCTGTGTTGTGTTCTACGTTCTGTTCTCTGTTTTGTTCTGTGTTTTGTTCTGTGTTCTGTATTGTGTTCTGCTCAGTGTTCTGTTCTATTCTGTTCAGATTTCTGTTCTATTCTGTTCTGAGTTCTGTTCTAGTCTGTAATGAGTTCTGTTCTAGTCAGTAATGAGTTCTGTTCTATTCTGTTCTGAGTTCTGTTTAATTCTGTTTTGCGTTTTGTTCGGCTTTCTGTTCTGCTTTCTGTTCTATTCTGTTCTTGTTCTATTCTGTTCTGTGCCTAAACTTTTCTGTTCTATTCTGCTTTGCTTTATGTTCTGTTAAGTTCTAAGTTCTGTTTAATTATGTTCTGAGTTCTGTTTTATTATGTTCTGCGTTCTGTTCTATTATGTTCTGCGTTCTGTTCAATTATGTACTGAGTTCTGTTTTATTATGTTTTGAGTTCTGTCCTATTATGTTCTGAGTTCTGTTTTATTATGTTCTGAGTTCTGTTTTCTTATAAACTGAGTTCTGTTTTATTGCGTTCTGAGTTCTGTTTTATTATGTACTGAGTTCTGCTCTATCATGTACTGATTTCTGCTTTATTATGTACTGAGTTCCGTCTTATTTTGTTCTGAGTTCTGTTTTACTATGTTCTGAGTTCTGTTCTATTATGGTCTGAGTTCTTTTTACCTTATTAAAGTATGTGAGAAGTTGATATATCTCTAGATCAGCTTGATCTAGTTTACCAGCGCTGTTACCCATTTTATCTTGAAGTCATTTTTAGCATGTTATACATTTTTTAGATATTTAAAGTTTTTTTGATGAAAAATGTTTAATTGTTTTGATAAGATATTAGTACCATTCTCATTTATTGTATGAATTGTAATTGACAGAACCATGTCGGTTGGTATATATTATATATATATATATATATATATATATATATTTAAGTGAATTTGCACATAATATATTTGACAGCTACAACTTCATTGTGTAGTTACGTAGTACAATACATCTACATTCACTTTACGGTGTACATACTGTTTTACTGTGCTGTATTGATCCTCAGTACATATACGAGTACTGCACTGAGTGCATATCTATGTATAGCTAGGAGATGTACACCATTCGGTGATTGACCCTTAACAGTTTACAGTTTACAGTTTACAGTTTACAGTTTACAGTTTACACTTTACAGTTTACGTACGTCTATAATATTGAAAAATGACTTATCTCTGATTTTAGTTTTATCTTTATAACAGCTGAACTATACAAACAATTCTCAAAATGGCGCAGGAATAATTTAATAATATTATTTTTAAATAAAAACTGCTTTATATGCTTTTGAATTTAAATGTCAAGGAACTGAGTTTTTTTGCCAGAAACTCAAATTTTCTAATTCCTATTAATCTTTTCAATCCAATTGTCGTATACAGACCAATTGATATTTCAAGCTTGGTAATTTAGATCATTATATAGATCATTCAATATATCAACTTTGGGTTACAAAGATAAAGGATTAGAAAATCAGAGTTTTAGGGCAAAACTCAGGAAACCTTTGTGAAAATGCAATTATACTTGAGTTGGTGGGTTGGAATTATGCGTTTTGTCGATATAATTAATAAATAAATAATTGAATAAATAAGATTTACAAAAGAGATATATCATAATTAAACGGATATGATCAAAATTTCCATTAATATTAAAAGTATAAAGAAAAAATATATCGTAAAGATCACATTCACGCCCTTGCTTGAAGCTGTTGGTAAGAATCATTTTTATATTTTTTAGTTTTAAAACTATTAGATGTCGTCTTTGATTGATTGAGAAAGCTGTAGTCGAGGTTTCGTTAGAAACGTAAACTTTGGAGTACACTAAACTAACTCAAGTTTTTCAGAAAACATAAAACTACAAATTGAAAATGGAAGTTTAGACTTATTTGCAAGAAAATCATTATCATGGAAATTGTCAGGCCTTTCTATGGTAGTGGTAGTGAGTGAAACAATTTTCATTAAAAATACGAGGATCAGAATTTATATCAATTTGAGTTTAACTCTGAGGCACTGAAATACAAAAAACATGTAACTTACATTTCTTGCTTCAGCTTTAATTGAAATTGATAACTAAATCTTCAATTAGAACAATGGTTGTATATTTCATCCAATACAGTAACAGTTTCTTTGCGGGTTGGGTCACAAGCCTTTATTCGTGAACCCCACCCTGATTGCAATTCAGGGGAAGGTACACGATACCATGATCTACTCAGACATTCGAGATAATCGTCAGAACGAACTGTGTACTCATTAATATAGCCAATTCACTGCGGTATTTCATCTAGAGATCTAAGTCTTTTTAGTCTTGTTTATAGTTCTCCGCCTTATTTAGTTTAAACAGGCTCTTCCTGTCATTTATACATTTATAACATACTAGGCTTTTCAATTGTGAACATGTTCTCATTGTAATATTGAAAAACAAAGAAAAAAATCGCGGATTTTCAAGATTTAAATTTTTTTTACAAAAATAAAAAAACTTTTAAACACAAATTTTTAAAGTTTTATTATTCATAAACCTTCCCTTGGGTCACCTGAGGTCCCGCACAAAATTTGGACACGATCGGTTCAGCCGTTTTGACATTTATTGGATACAAATAAACAAACAGACAAGCCAAATTTATATATAGACGCAACACATGGTCCCCTAGCGTGTCCTAAGTGCGGCGATATGCTCTAGCCAGGCCTGTAGCCGCAGCGCTCGGCCAAAAAATTGTCTAATGACCTCAAAACCTAATACTTAAACATTGATTTTTAACTTAAAACTCGATAAATTTTGATTTAGATAAATAGGGTCTGTCCTAGTAAACGATTTTTTGGACCCCCCCGCCCCCCCTCCTGTCAATTTTGTACATGACGAAATTAGTAAACTAGTATTTATTTATTCTTATTTAGGGTCAGGTTAGTTAAGACACTTTCTGGGCCGAGCGCTGCGGTTAGGACAGGCTAGGGGGCCGAGCGCTGCGGCCACATGGTCAATTATATCCATGTCTAACATATAAGATCCACGTACAAAATTGATAGGTGGGGGGGGGCCTGGGGGGGTCCAAAAATCGTTCTCTAGGAATATACCGATAAATATTTTGGCTGTTACATAACATGTATTCGGTGGTAACGGTAAGGTAAGGTTAGAAATTTGACCGCAGTGCCCGGCCCCCTAGCCTGTTCTAGCCGCAGCGCTCGGTCCCGTAGCCTCTCCTAGCTGCAGCGATCGGCATCCTGTCCTAACCGCAGCGCTCGGCATCCTGTCCTAACCGCAGCGCTCGGCCCCTAGCCTTTCCTAGTTACAGCGATTGGCTCCCTAGCCTGTCCTAACCGCAGTGCTCGGCCCTTAGCCGGTCTTAGTTGCAGCGCTTTGCCCAGAAATTGTCTTAACCTAACCTTAAAATAATTCAAAATGAATATTCAATTTTGTTGGAAAATATTGGTCATGCACAAAATTGAAAGGAGGACGGTGAGGGGGGGGGGTCTAAAAAGCGTTCTCTTCGGACAGACCCATGTCTTCGTTTTCTTACAAGCTATTAAGAAGATATTTTGTATTTCAAAATAAATTGTCTTTCCATATTTCCTTTATAACTGAAAGATGTAAAACAGAAAACTCTGTTCAGAATTTTGATGTTACAAAGAGTTTAAGGCTAGAAACCATAAATGAACGAATATATATACAGCAAAATTGTACTTGCACGAATATTCCGAAAATGATTGAATCCAATTTTATAAAACTACACCTGTAAGTTGGAGGATGAGTTCAAAGAAATGCTATCATTATTTTTAACTTGTCTCCACATTGTTACTTTTAGCTTTAAGATAACTGGCATAAATCATTAACTTGTTAAAAGAAGGGAAAAGATAAGTTTATCTGTTCTCGAATTGTTGGAAATGATTTTGAACCTAAAATGTTTACATACAAATAAAAATTCATTTCTTGCTCCAGACTGTTTAAACTTTAAGAAAACAATTACCTTTAACACAAACTATTGCAGGTAAAAAATAGATGTCTTGCCCCTTTTTTCCTTTCTCTTCTTCACTTATCGTTTCCTTCTCATTTTTCTTTCTCTTCTTTTTTTGTCTATGATAATGTGGATTGTGCACCCCCATTGCTCCAGGACCGGTTTTATGGGGCCGAGCGCCGTGGCTAGGACAGACTTCGGTCAAATGTCTAACTATGCCCATGTGTTACATATAAGCCCATGTACACAAATATTGACGATCTATATAAAAAGGCTTCTCATGTACCTAAGCAATAGGAGGGGGTGTCCAAAAAATCCTTAAATAGGAAATTTCCCTTAATGTCTGTGGGACTGGGTTCTCACTATTTATACATTCTCAAAAGTGTAACCAACAATTATGGTACACGTCTTGAATTAATTAGCAATTATTTCGTATAAAAATATGAAAAAAAATATTTTTTTTGATTTTTAACTAGATAAATTTTTTAGCATGTGACACATGTCTTTAATGTTTCTTTTACATTGCTTTTTTAATGCTTTTTAAACATTTAAAATATCTCAAAGTTTTTAATTACCGCCCCTTCCCCCCGTATTGGATCGTATCCTAGGTGTATAATAAAGGAAAGGAGCGCCAAACACCCCCCCCCTTCATGTTTTTGAAGGGGATCACATTTTTGTATCTTTTTTCTATATATCTAACTATCTTTCTATCAATGTTAGTTTCTATCTATCTATCTATCTACGCCTGTGTCACCTGCTATCAGAACTGAACACAGGAAGTTGTAAAATTTCACAATTTTTCTTAATGAAGTATATCCACTCCTTATACGCTTTCACTATCTTTCTATTTATCGATGTAATCTCTTAAACTATAAAGATGAGTTAGATATTTAATCAGACTATCTTATTGCTGGATTATGTAGAAATGAATTTTGTAGAAAGTATTTCCCCTGTTATTTTGTAAAACTGAACTAGTGTCTACAAATCAGTTCAATGCGCTCTTTCAATTGTAAATTTATTCTCGTGCGGCTCGTATGCTTTACAGTTATATATTATAAATCACATTGTATCTTTTAAAGAGCTTGTTATATTCTTTGACCTATTTTCTAGTACAGGGTGTCTCGATAAACATGAGACTTAAATGATGACATTCTTCATGGTGTTTAACTTGAATACCGTTGTTGTACTTAGAATTTACATCGAAAACTTCTTGTCCAGAGATTTCCAAAATATTAGTTAAACCATTGAGTGGGAAATAAAGAAATTATCCTTATTTCAATTTTCAATAAATAAAATCGAAATTGTTTAAATACCCTATAACTCCGTCAAAAATAAAATAATGTCATCTCTGAACTCTCATGTTTATTGGCCCATTATTCATTATGAATTTGGTTTTATGTCCAAATACTAATGAATTGTGAGTGTGTTTAATAAATGGTCCATGGATTCTTTATAGATTTGATACAGGATATTTCAGTTAGTTACTACGTGAAACCATAGCTATACTATAATACTAGGATCAAAAACTACATTTTACAAACATCATTATTATTATTGATATCTTCTATATATAAAGGGGATGGTGGAGTTGGCACATTTGATGTAGGGGGGGGGGGGCTGCCTT